GCAGCAGCGTCCAAATCGTCGCAGCTCGCAGATCACGCTCGGGGCTTATCCGCAGGCCAACACGCGGGGGGGCTCCTACACGACGCTAATGGAAGCGATTCAGGCCGCCAGCTTGGCGGCCGCGACCACATGGAAGGACTGGTACATTTACTATCTGCAAGGTTCTACCGCCGCGCGGCGGGTTCGGGAGGCAACCGAGCTTTGCTGAAAGTGGGCCTCGAGGACAAACCCGATGATGGAGCGGAGCAGCAGGAGGGCGACACTTGAGCAGGACAGTGATGCCCATGACTCGAGCTCACTGCTCTCAGCGGCCCCCAGAGAGGCGCAAAACACTGTTCCTCGAGCGCCACCTCCAGGAAGAACCCCTCCTCGCGCTCCATTCTTGGACCCCCGCTCCGATCCTTGCGCGATCCTTGGGGGCCCGGGAGGTAGGAGTTTTTTGTTCAAAGCCCCCCCAATTCAGGCCTCCACCGGCGCCGAGCGGTCTCGGGCTTTGTCTGAGGCCCCGCGTCAGCTGCGACTTGCCGAAAGTTCTTTGGAAGGGGGGGGCCTTCCGGGGTCCTCGAGGTCGTCCGATGTATAGGCTTTCCCTTGCCGTGAATCCTAACTGGGGTTGCGCTGGCGTGTTTTTTCGTCGCTCGCCTCTGGCTGTGTTCATCGAGGGAATGCATGGGCGAGCCCCCGAGGCGCCCCCGAATGGGAGTCTCTCTTTTGCCAGTGGTGTCCCCCTGCAGGGCCCCCTTTTTTCACCGGTTCCAAACGCCTGATCCGTTTTTCCCAACCCTCCTTGTGTTGGGCATTCGTTTTGAAGAGAGGACTGTGGTATCCACCTTCCGCCCTCTCCCCCTTCTTCTCTTTTGTGTTCGCGGTGCCCTGCGGGGCTGCGATCTGCGCAACTGTCGCCACTTCCTGGGTTCTGGGAGGCCCAGCAGAGGTACGTCCTACGCAGATCACATTGAAGCCTCCCTGTCCCCTGCGGGGCTGCGATCTGCGCAACTGTCGCCACGTGGGTTCCTGGGGGGCCCAGCGGAGGTACGTCCGACGCAGATCACTTTGAGGCCTCCCTGTCCCCTGCGGGGCTGCGACCAGCGCAACTGTCGCCACTTTCGTGGGTTCCTGGGAGGCCCAGCGGAGGTGCGTCTTACGCAGATCACTTTGAGGCCTCCCTGTCCCTTGCGGGGCTGCGATCTGCGCAACTGTCGCCACTTTCGTGGGTTCCTTGGAGGCCCGGCGGAGGTACGTCCTACGCAGATCACTTTGAGGCCTCCCTGTCCCCTGCGGGGCTGCGATCTGCGCAACTGTCGCCACTTTCGTGGGTTCCTGCGAGGCCCAGCGGAGGTACGTCCTACGCAGATCACATTGAGGCCTCCCAGTCCCCTGAGGGGCTGCGATCTGCGCAACTGTCGCCACGTGGGTTCCTGGGAGGCCCAGCGGAGGTGCGTCCTACGCATATCAGTTTGAGGCCTCCCTGTCCCCTGCGGGGCTGCGATCTGCGCAACTGTCGCCGCTTTCGTGGCTTCCTGGGAGGCCCAGCGGAGGTCATCCTACGCAGATCATTTTGAAGCCTCCCTGTCCCCTGCGTGGCTGCGACCAGCGAACTGTCGCCACTTTCGTGGGTTCCTGGGAGTCCCAGCGGAGGTACGTCCGACGCAGATCACTTTGAGGCCTCACTGTCCCTTGCGGGGCTGCGACCTGCGCAACTGTCGCCACTTTCGTGGTCTCCTGGGAGGCCCAGTGGATGTACGTCCTACGCAGATCACTTTGAGGCCCCCCTGTCCCCTGCGGGGCTGCGATCCGCGCAACTGTCGCCACTTTCGTGGCTTCCTGGGAGGCCCAGCGGAGGTACGTCTTACGCAGACCACTTTGAGGCCTCCCTGTCCCCTTGGCGCACCTGGGGAGCACCTGGCGCGTCTGGCGCGCACCTGGCGCGCTGGGCGCACCTGACGCACCTGACGCGCTGAGCGCACCTGGCGCGCACCTGGCGCACCTGACGCACCTGGCGCACCTGGCGCACCTGTCGCACCTGTCGCACCTGGCGCGCCTGGCGCGCACCTGGCGCGCACCCGGTGCGCACGTGGCGCGCTGGGCGCACATGACGCACCCGACGCGCGCCTGGCGCACCTGGCGCGCACCTGGCGCGCACCTGGCGCGCACCTGGCGCGCTGGGCGCACCTGGCGCACCTGCCGCACCTGGCGCACCTGTCGCGCCTGGCGCGCCTGGTGCAACTGGCGCACCTGGCGCACCTGGCGCGCACCTGGCGCACACCACCTGGCACACCTGGTGCATCTGGCGCACCTGGCGCACCTGGCGCGCTGGGCGCACCTGGCGCACCTGCCACACCTAGCGCAGACCTGGCGCACCTGGCGCGCGTGTCGTACCTGGCGCACCTGGCGCACCTGGCGCACCTGGCGCACATGGCGCACCTGGCTCACTTGGCGCGCCTGGCGCAACTGGCGCACCTGGCACACCTGGCGCAACTGGCGCGCACCTGGCGCACCTGGCGCGCACCTGGCGCACACGTGGCGCACACCTGGCGCAGCTGGCGCACCTGGCGCGCGCCTGGCGCGCACCTGGCGCGCACCTGGCGCGCTGGGCGCACCTGGCGTACCTGGCGCGCTGGGAGCACCGGGCGCGCACCTGGTGCACCTGGCGCGCTGGGCGCACCTGACGCTCCTGGCACACCTGGCGCACCTGGCGCACCTGGCGCGCCTGGCGCGCATGGCGCACCTGGCGCGCCTGGCGCAACTAGCGCACCTGGCGCACCTGGCGCGCCTGGCGCGCACTTGGCGCACACCTGGCGCACCTGGCGCCCCTGGCGCGCCTGGCGCGCCTGGCGCACCTGGCGCACCTGGCGTACCTGGCGCGCCTGGCGCCACTGGCGTCACGGGCGCACCTGGCGCACCTGGCGCGCCTGGCGCGCCTGGCGTACCTGGCGCGCACCTGGCGCACCTGGGCACACCTGGCGCACCTGGCGCGCACCTGGCGCGCACCTGGCGCGCACCTGGCGCATCTGGCGCACCTGGCGCGCCTGGCGCACCTTGCGCACGTGGCGCACCTTGCGCACCTGGCGCACCTGGCGCACCTGGCGCACCTGGCGCACCTGGCGCACCTGGCGCGCCTGGCGCGCTTGGCGCGCTTGGCCCACCTGGCGCGCATGGGCTTTTGGGAGGCTCAGCGGAGGCACGTCCTACGCATATCACCATTATACCATGGCGCCGAAATGTCCTTCGGTATTGAATGGTTCTGAATGCAACTGCCACTTGTGTAGAAAGGGTTGGGTGCGTCGCAGGATAATTGTTTGTTTGAGGCCCTCAACGTGCGCTGCCGAGTCTTTGGCAGTTGATCGGGTCAGTGCTGCTGTGATATGCTCTCTACTCCTCTTCTTCATCCTCCACCTCCTCCCCCACCTCGTCCTCCTTCTCCCCCTCCGCCTCCTCGTCCTCATCCTCTTTCTTCTCCTCATCCTCATCCTCATCCTCCCCCCTTCCCCTCCTCCTCCCCTTCTCCCACTTCCCCCCCTCCGTCCTCCAGCGTCTTCCTCGCTGCTCATCCTCGTCCTCTGGTGCCTCCCTCCGGGGGCGCCTGGACTGGGACATGCCCGGCGCGCCTGGCGCGCGCCGGCAAGTCCCCTCAAATGGTCATTGGGGGCGCAGTGGGCCTGATTTTCTCGCGCGCCAAGGGTTGACTTGGGCCCGGACTGGGACACGCATGGCGCGCCCCAGCGCGCGTATGAGGGCCTCGTTGGGGAGGCTCAGAGGCCAGATCTTGAAGATCTCCCATGCGAGGGCGGCAGTCTGGATTTCGTCGCTAAATACCGAACAGGGGGGGGGGGGGGCGGTGTTGTGAGAAAGTCCCACGCGATGGCGTTAGTCCACAATTCGCCACCAAGTTTTTGGGATTTCCCGGAGCGGGAACAAGTAAACCTTTGAGGGCATCTTTGGGAAGGCTCGGGGGAGCGTTTTCTGAGGATGTCCCACGCGAGGGCGCCGGTTTCAATTCGTCGCCAGATTTCCGGATTCCCCCGAAACAGAACAAGGGAGCCTCTTAGGGCATTCTTGTGGGGGCTCGGGGGGCGTGTTTTTTTTGGGGGGGATGTCCCACGCGAGAGCGCCCGTTTGGAATTCGTTGCTGGATTTCCCGGATGCCCCCGAAACGAAACATGGTGGAGCGGTTGGCGGGCCCATTGTCTCGGGCGCAAGGGATCAGGATGATGTGAGTTGTCTAGGCGATTTCGTTCAGATGATTATGCTGATAGCACGGCAGTGGCAATCACATATATCCCCCTTTGAATTTATGCCAGATCAATTGTGGTGTTTGCGTGTTAGTGATTTGAAGGGCGACGATGCACATCGGTTTGTGGTGGCGTGTCTCTGCAAGTTGTCCCTCTGAGAAAGGGGCAAAGGCTGACATCGTCATCGTATGTATGCGTCCCTGTACATGCACTATCCGCGGCCACATTCTCTGCAAGACCTGCTCGTTTGTAGGGATTTGTTTGAAATGCGGTGGTGGTTTGAAATCCGACGATTCCTATCGTCTTGCTGTATCGTGGTTTGGCAAGCTGCCTACTGGAAAAAAGGCAAGAGCTGGCCTCGTCGTCATTGCCCAGAGCCTGCTGGTGGGGAACGTGACACCCATACGTCTGATTCAAGTGTCACCGAGATTGTGCGGTGCGTCGCGCGGCCCGCCAGTCGGAGCCTAGCGCTTGGGTGAGTTTGCGGGTTGGCCGCTAGCATGCAACATGCGGGAGTAGATCCGTTGTCAAAATCGGCGCCAGTAGATCCGTGGTATCGGAGGGAGGAAGAGGAGGAGGGGGAGGAGGAGGAGGAGGAGGAGGAGGAGGAGGAGGAGGAGGAGGGGAGGAGATCCGTGGTCGAAATCTGGCGCGTTTGGCGCCGGAGCCGGCAACCACAACGGCCAAGCGGAGCCGGTGGACAACAAGAAAAATGACAGAGATTTGTCGTGGCCGGGGCCCGTGGAGCCCCCGCCTTCTCCGAGCAAGGTGCAGGAGTCGGAGCAGAAGGCAGAGACGGAGCACCACCAGGAGCTTGCCGGGGGGGGAGGAGGGGGGGGGGGGGCATGCCAGGCTTGCGCGCGGCCAAGAGTCAGGAGGAGAAAAAAACACACAGACACAATTGATCGCCGATTCTCCAGAAGATATGGGAAAATATGGGCAGTGGGGGGGAAGACAGAAACCCAGAACATATGGGAAAATATGGGGAATTCTCTTATTTGTGTGTGTGTTTATTTGTGTGTCCTGGGGCCCCTTCAAAGAGGACCCCCTCTTCTCCTTCCCCTGTCTCCCCTCTTTGCTCCCCTGCCCTACATGCAATGGCGAATCATGGGAGCCTTCTGTCCTCGGAGTGTCGTCTGTAGATGGCACTACTTGTATCGCCGCGGTGGTTGCTAAGGAGAAGGGGGGTCAGAAGTGGATGCCAAAGTGTGCTCTAAGTGGGTTGCGAGTGCCCGACGTGGCTTAGGATGATGAGGTAACTCCGCTGAGTGGGCTCCGCCCACTTTTCCAGTTCTGTGCGCCCTTAAGCCACTTAGGGCACGTGCAGCCCACTTCTAAGCAGGTCTGGTTGATAAAGCCCACTTGAGCGACCCCCCCATCCCCTTAACAACCACCGCGGCGATCCAAGTAACGTGCGTCAGCGTTTTGCAATCGATGAGGGGGCGTCAATTTTGCGACGAATTGCGTCGGCTACGGGAAAGGATAGATAGGGGGAGGGAGGACGACGGACGATTTGATGAGGGCTCGGCGGGGGGGGGGGGGCTAGGCCGGAGGAGCGGGAGAGCTAGGCGGGATGGCTAAACGAGAGAGGATTTGGCGAATCCGATGTTCCGCGTATCCGCAGAAGCAGTCGGCGGTCCCGTGTATGTATTGCGCTGCAGACGAAGAGTGGACTGGGAGGAGGCGAGACTGGAGCAGGTTTTGGGACAGTCTAAGCGCCTCCATGGGCTGCTAGGGGTCTGCACGGGATCACGGGGATCGTTTTGCTTTTGTTTGCATGTTGTTCTTCCCATCCCAACTGAATCACTTCATGCACCATGCGCTGCCAAGCTCGGTCAGCATCTGCATTCCAATACTTGTAACATGTCCCGTGAAGATGTTCCCGAGCGCAGTGCGTCGGAGAAGCCGGACGATCCTCAATCACGACCTCCGAGACGCCAGGGAGGGGGGTCCTGAGCTGATCCGAGAAGTCCGCGCGGGCCTTCGAAAGCACATGCTTGTGCACGTTTGCCCCCCATCGATGGCCTGAAGTGAGAACCTGCTCGGGGCACGTGGACCGCCGCCTTGGCAAGCGGAGAGGAGGGAACGACGAATGAGGGGGGCGGGGTCCAGAAGCACGAGAGTCCCAAAATTTCGATCACTCATCGGCAGTGCGAGGATCGCCCCGCGGTCAAGGATCGAGGGTCGCGCCAAGGCGGGGATCGAGGATCCAGCATCGAGCTGCGAGCATCGAGTCGGGGCGAGGATGGGGGATCGAGATCCTCGATCGTCAATTTCCTGATCCCTCGATCCTCGATCTTCGTTCCGGTGGTGCCAGTCTGAGGATTGAGGTCCAGGACCCACATCCGCCATAGTGGGCATGCCCAGCCTTGAGGCTACAAAGCAGACCGAACTGCATCAACCGCCCCGCCCCCGCCGCCCCCCCCGCAATGGTGGGTGCATAGGGACGCCCGCAACCACCATCCCGATCACCATCATAACCGTGGAGGGAGAGGAGGAGGAGGAGGAGGAGGAGGAGGAGGAGGAGGAGAAGGAGGAGGAGGAGGAGAAGGAGGAGGAGGAGGAAGACGACGACGACGACGACGACGACGACGACGACGACGACGACGACGGGAAGAGGACCACGACGACGACGACGACGACGACGACGACGACGACGACGTCGACGAGGCGAGGGCGAGGAAGCCACCACATCCGGAAGGGGGTGGCGAGGGGGCCGAGGCGAGGCAGTGAAGGAGCCGGAGGAGATCGCTCGTATCATACCCCCGTCCGTTTCACGCCCCGTGCAACACCCCCAAAGGGTCGGTGGGTTGGGAACCGAAAGCGTATTTGGCCCTCGAGGTTCCGTCATGCCGTTCACAGTAGCTTGTGTGTCTGTGTTTGCATGTGGTCAAGCATGGCCTTCATCATTTCGAGCGTCGGCGAGGCGATAGCTTGTATGCACCACATCCTTGGATCATCGTTGGGTGCTTGGAGTCTTACAGGGGGGGTTCGAGGAGGAGATGGAGGATGAGAAGGAGGAGGAGGAGGACAAGAAGGAGGAGGATAAGTTGGATAAGGACCGAGGAGGAGGAAAAGGAGGAGGAGGAGGAGGAGGAGGACGCGTAAGTGACGGGGCAGGTGGAGGAGGAGGAGGAAGAGGGACAGCACAAGGCAGTCGCCCCAGCCATTCTGGTCGTTTGCCAGCTCCGGGGCAATCTTGGATTTTTGGCCACCTTCATCCGCCCTGATATCTAAATACCAATATTCCTCTTCCCGCATCTCCCCGCTCCCACCCTCCCATCTCTCTTCTTACCACTTCCTCACTCGTACGCACTTTCTCCCGCCCGCCCTTCTTCCACCCACTTTCCTCTTTTCCCCCTCCCTCCTCCTGCCCTCCTTTCCTTTATATCTACACAAGATGAATACTACTCTCCTCCCTCCCCTGATGACGTTTAGAAGATGCCCGACCCCCATCCGCTTAAAGCTGTCCGGGAATTGGGTTCTCGCTTGGGTTTTTCCCAACCATCTTGTGGTGTTGGGTCCTCGTTTTGAAGAGACAGCGCCCCGCGTTCCTCTCCTCCTCTCCTCTCCTCCTCTCCTCTCCTCCTCTCCTCTCCTCCTCCTTCCCTCCTCCCCTCCTCCTTCCTCCTCCGCAGTTCGCGTGCGTCCCTTCCGCCCAGCACAACGTTCCGTGGCCCCAGAGGGAGCTCTCCACCGAAGGTCCCAGTGGCGCAGTCCGCATGCGTCTCCCCCCCCAGTTTGGCCCCCAGAAGAAGCTCCACCGAAGGTCCCAGTGGCGCAGTTCGCATGCGTCCCCCCGTCCAGTACACCGCATCGTGGCCCCAGAGGGAGCTCCACCGAAGGTCCCAGTGGCGCAGTCCGCATGCGTTCCCCCACCTAGTACAGCGTTTTGTAGCCCCAGAGGGAGCTCCACCGAAGGTCCCAGTTGGCGCAGTCCGCATGCGTTCCCCCCTACCCAGTACAGCGTGTCATGGTCCCATTGGGAGTTTCACCGAAGGTCCCAGTGGCGCAGTCTGCATGCGTTCCCCCACCTAGTACAGCGTTTTGTAGCCCCAGAGGGAGCTCCACCGAAGGTCCCAGTTAGCGCAGTCCGCATGCGTCCCCCCCCACCCAGTACAGCGTGTCATGGCCCCATTGGGAGTTTCACCGAAGGTCCCAGTGGCGCAGTCCGCATGCGTCCCCCCGTCCAGCACAGCGTTTCGTGGCCCCATAGGGAGCTCCACCGAAGGTCCCAGTGGCGCAGTCCGCATGCGTCCCCCCCACCAGTGTGGAGCGTTTCGTGGCCCCATAGGGAGCTCCACCGAATGTCCCAGTGGCGCAGTTCGCATGCGCTTCCCCTCTACCCAGTGCAGCGTTTCGCGGCCCCATAGGGAGAGATCCACCGAAGGTCCCAGTGGCGCAGTTCGCATGCGCATCGCCCACCAAGTACAGCGCTTCATGGCCCAGTGGCGCAGTCCGCAGGCGTTCCGCCCGCCCAGGACAGCGCTTCATGGCCCCACAGGGGGAGCTCCACCGAAGGTTCCAGTGGCGCAGTTCGCGTGCGTCCCCGCCGCCCAGTACAGCGTTTCGTTGCCCCGGAGCTTCGTGGCCCCAGAGTGAGCTCCACCGAAGGTCCCAGTGGCGCAGTTCGCATGCGTCTCCCCCGCCCAGTACAGCGTGCCGTGGCCCCAGAGGGAACTCCACGGAAGACGATACCCGCACCTTGAAGCGTTGTCCTCATTTCTGCGCTTTGCTCGTTCCGAATCATGCTCCCGCTGCAGCGGTGGCCTGATTTCTACGCTTCCACTCGTTCCGTATCGTGCTCCCGCTGCAGCGTTGGCGTCTTTATTTCCAGTACCATGCCACGGGATGGGTTTCGGTTCTTCCAAATAGGCGCCAACATCCAGAACATACACCCCCCCGGAAGCACCATCGGAAATGATTACACATTCGGTGTCGATTCGTTGATTTGTTTTGCCGCAGAAGCCCCCCCCCATTTCGGGGCGTCGCCACGCCATGCTATGTCATGCTACGCGTTCATCTTCAACACCATGCTGTGCCATGTAATGCTCTGCCATTCTATGACATCCGACTGTGCGATTAGAGAGGAGATCGACACCATGATCAGGGGTGGGAGGGAAGGGTAGGACGTCAGATATGACGCGAACGCACCTCGCTTGCCTACCTCCCCTCTCCCCCATCCCTCCTCCCCCATCCATCCCTCCTCTGGGCGTCATCCCTCCTTGCCTGCCCTCCCTCCCTCCTTCCGCACCTTCTCCCCCGATACCTCATCAGGATTCCCTCATCGTGCTTCATCTGGTTACGCCCAGGCATACACTCCCATTCGCAGGGTCTGGCTGAGCAAGGCTACTGCTGCGTCCAGGGTCTAGCTGGGCCAGGCTACTGTTGCATCAATGCCTGCACTCCTCGTTTCCAGGGCTTAGCATGCTGGCTGTACCCACTGATGGCACCAGCCTTGTGAGATCGGAAAGAGCGTGTTCTACCGCTGCTGGAGGAAAACCGGGGGGTGGTCACTACCGGTTCGAACCCTTCCCCCCCCCCTCCGGAAAACTGGGGGGGGTCACTACCGGTTCGAACCTCTCCCCCCCCCAGTTCATCATGAAAACCGGGGGGGGTCACTACCGGTTCGACCCCCCCCCCCTCGAAAACCGGGGGGGGGTCACTACCCGTTCGAATCCCCCCCCCTCGAAAACCGAGGGGGGGGGCGGACAGTGGTGGGGACGGTGGTGGTGGGGACAGTGGTGAGGGGACAGCGGGACAGTGGTGGGGACAGACAGTGGGACAGTGGGGACTGCAGTGGTGGGGACAGTGGTGAGGACAATGGTGGGAACAGTGGGGACAGTGGACAGTGGTGGGGACGGTGGTGGTGGGGACA